ATATATATTGCTTGGAGTTTTGAAAAAATAAAAAATGACTTTAAAAAAATGATAATTATTTCGTAAAATTTTCCAATTAAATCTTAGTTCCTAATTTTGGAAATTTTTATTACTAAAAAGGATAGGGTCTAGAATAATTTGCCTGAACCCCAGGGGTTCATAAATTTCACCCTGAACCAGGGGTCCAGAATAAGGATGCTCAAAAATTTATTGGATGATCTGAAATGTGATATAAATTTTTATGGAATTTTATTGACCTAAATTTGAAGATCATGCACGTGATATTGTTTATTTGGTATTCGAATACCTATTAATTATATTACCAAATTTTCACATGACCACATAATTTTGCAAAGAGCGATAAATTGTCACTATTTGTTACATGAACTAATATTCATTAATTAAATTCCAAATATTATTTTAAAGGTTATTATTAATTATTGCAGGTGTTTTTAATATTATATTATTATGATATTTTCATTCTGTAATACCATGCTAGCTCCATTGATATTTATATAAAAAATCACTTGTATAGGACAAAGCCCATTGCTTTGCAATAGATATTATCCACTTATGAATGATTACTTATGACAATTTATTGAGCATATGAAATCAACAAATAATAATCATGGTGGATTATGAATATTTCATGAATGGCTATCTCAGACATATAGTTGATTAGAGTCATACAATAATTTGGGTAACTTGACATCTTCGCTAACCTATCATATGATATGTGTCATAGAAGGAATTCGAATGTAATAAAAATTTGCGATTCACCGATTACCAAATCAATTTCTTTTACGACTTGTATATTGGTATAAAGTACAAATACTATTTTTTTATCCAATGTCCAAACTTGCAAGATCTCTCACTTTAGCTTAAAAAATTGAACGTTTAAACCTTCGTCATGCAGGTACAGTTTCTGCTCAAACTTTTTATAATCACGAAAGCACTTTTAATATCTTCACCTTTCACTTTCTAGTATATTGGAATTGTGACCCAAACTCGGGAAGAAATTTGATCGATTGGGACACTTATTTTATCGACACAAATCCTAGATGCACAAAAGAGGAAGTGCATCGATCCCTGGGTCTTGAACTTGATATTCTCCTTAAAAATTTACAAAGAAGGAATCGTCTTTTTGCCAAGGCAACCGTCTTGAAAAATGATTTAGAGGTCAGCTTTTCTTTTTATTATTGGTGCACATTACCATGCTCTGCAGTCGTGTTCTGAGCGATTCGTTCGCACAAGGCAACTCGTGTTGTTACCCGAAGTGGGAAGTATATTATGGTTTGGATTTTTTAGGTCCCACTATAATATGCGTCGATAGCACCGTTATCATTTACCATTTGCCTATACCTTGCAGTCGTGTTCTGAGCGATTCATCGCACAAGGCAACTCGTGTTGTTGCCTGAAGTGGGGAATTATGTTATAATCTAGACATTTTGGCCCATTATAACATGCGTGGACAATCAATTAGATTATTTGTGATGATGTTTTCTAATACGATCTTTTTTTGTTTGTCTTAGAATTGTAATGATGATCTCGCAAATGTTTCATTATGGGAAAATAATGGAAGGTTATCAATACTAGCTGTCATGGATTGAGTAAATAAGGTATATTTTGACTTTAACTTATTATACATATGATATTATATCAGCATTTATAATGTCATCTTATACCTGCCACCCAAATTCAAAATCCAAATGCCGAAATCCCAAATGCCGAAATCCCAAATCCCAAATCCCAAATTATGATTAGTATTTTTTGCCGAAATCCCAAATCCCAAATTCCAAATACTAGTAATTTGGGATTTTGGCGTCCCAAATCCCAAATGATTTGGGATTTGGGCAACACGTATATGTCATCTTAATCTGTTATGTTAGCGGGAAATTCGAAGAATTGCTATACAAGAAGAAACGGGACGATATAAATCTGAACAGGAAAATATAAGTCATAAGCTACAGGGCTAGCTCGTGAGGATCTCGAAATCACTAGCGATGATTACACTGATTCACCTGATTATGATGAATCGGTAAACAAAATTACTGTGCAAGATGGTAGGAAGTCCCGTTTTTTGTCCTATGTTCAGGTATTGTTATTATCTAAACTTGACTGTTCTTGAAATTCTTATTTATTGTACAGATCAATTCCGAACTCCTCCTCATCAAATCACCAGCAACATATACAATGAAGAAATATCAATTAATGAAAATATCTTAAGAATGTCTGCCAAAAGTTTAGCGAAACTTAGATATTTATTGAAGATTGCTAATTTTTAATGCATATAATAGATACTCAATAATTTACATTGAACAGAATTTTAGCGATTTTATTCCACATTTTATAAAATATAAAAAATCACAAAAAAATGATCCATTTTCGTAAGTAATTGTACTTCTTAGGGCATTTTTCATAATTTATAACTAATATCTTCTCAATATATAGGTACACAAATGATGACGTAATGAACATTCGAGGAGAAAGTGGGTTTTCAAAATTTCTGTCAGTTGATGATTATATAAAATTACGGTCAAAAAATCCAAAAAGGAAATTTGAATTACCAAAAGATTGGCGTAATGTTATTGAAGAATATTTCAAGTTAATTATATAAAATTATTTGTATTTGTCATTTATAGAAATTATTGATTCTATTATTTTATAGGAACAACTGAAAGTAGGTCTTATTATAGAAATTGAGCGAGCAACAATGGGAAGAAAGTTTGATGGAAGTTAACCCAAAACAAAATAAATTTATCATAAAATTAAAAAGATTAATAATAGAAACGTTGCCGATTTTGTAAGTATTCAAGGAGTGCATCTTATTTTTATAGATATGTACTAACATTTTACAATTTCTAGTTTTGACTCCTACAAATTAATGTCTGATAATCCACTTAAAAATAAAGATATGACTTAAGAGGAAGAAATTACAGAAGATACACCATAATTCTGGGCTAATTTAATGAAAAGATGTTGGCATTCTGATCCTTCTCAACGACCAAAAATACAAGAAGTTCATAAGTCACTTGATACTTCATATCGTAATACTTGTATTGGTTAGAATTTAAAGAAGCAGAAAAAAAACGACTTGAAATGGTTGAATCCAAAAAACCATTTGTAAAAAATCCAAGATATGAACATCTCAATTCTAGATATTATAGTAGATCATTGAATTCCATGTTAGAATCTATTATTGATTTGAATTATTTTTAAGATGAAATAATTCATTATATTAATTAATAATTTCTTATATATTATTTCCATAGATCTATTCTCTAATGATAATTTGTTCTCTAATGATCATTTTGATATTAAGTATATAAACTTCGTAATATTTTACATGCTTTATTTAATATGATTATTAACTTTTAATTGATTTAAATTTACTAATTATCTATATTTAATAATTTTTAAATACAGTAGTTCGAATCAAAATAAATGATTCAGACGGTAATTCAAGTGTGTTTAATATATTAGTGAAAGATTCATGGGATATATTTTATTTTATAGGCTAACAGTTGTTTGTTACTTAATTTATATTTTTCATCATAATAAATTTATTATTATTTATTATTTTTTATATCATTTATTATCTATCACTTAAGAGTTGATAGTAATTCTACTATTCAGTATAATTTATAGAAATCATTCAAGTTTATTCAAAAAATTATAAAATAAATATTCGATATTTCAATCATTAAGAAATGTTTACTGGATAATAAAAATAATACAACCATTCATTTAATATAGTAAATCATCTGTGTTGTATTAATAAATTAACTCACATTGCACTCTCGCGCATTTGTTTTCCTACATGATAATTTTTTTGAAATTTTCCATGCCCCGTAAAAAATTTTCGGTCTATTAATAATAATTTGATATAGAATAACCATAGGTTGTCTCCATTTTTAGAGTTCAAACCTTTTATCTGTTATTTTCAAATAATATGGATCAAATTATAAATGTTCAATTTATTTCTACCAATCAATTATTATTATGTCAACTATTACCTGCGGCAATGAATAATACTTTCAAAAAGATTATGATGATCTATATTTAGAATGTGTTCCTTTTAAAGAATTTAGATAAATCGCCACGAATCAAGGTATTTTTTTTTATTAATTTGTTAAACGGACGAAGAAAAATCATAGATGATGCTAATTTATTTTTTTTTTTTACAGATATTATTATTTATAAGTGCTCGTTTTTAAAAGTTTAAAAGTTTAACAGATTGGGTTATTGAGAGATTTTCATTTTTATTGATTCTTCTTATATACATTTTATAAATATCCATATATTTAAAAACAAAATAAAAGTTTGAATGTGCCAAGTGATTCTTCTAATTTTTAATTAATGTGTTGCATGAATTTTTTTTTTGTTTATTCGAAAAAAAAATTTTGTAGCATAGCATTAAAGATGAGAGTAGGGATCGCCTATATTACTCGTTGTATCACTTTTTTTCGATATATGGAAACAAAGAATTAATTTCCAAATTTGGTCGACTATTCTTGAACATAGGCAAAGAACATTCTCAACTTTCGATGAATGTCTTCTTAAAATAAATATAAATAAATAAATAGGACTTTTTCGATCATCTACAATTTTGAAAGTTCATCTTGTTCTTATTAAAAAAAAAAAAATTGACTTCAAAAAAGACTTAATGGATTATTGAATTAATTAAATGTTATAAAATGTATCACAAAAGAAAGTGAGAATAGTGACACTTTCTAGCATGGTTCCACATGAAAAATTTAATATAACAATTGAAAGTCTTAAATAATTCCCAGAACGTGGTTTTTATTAAAATTCTATTGAATTGTAATTTATTTATTTATATATTCATTATAGTTTATTTTATAATAAAGTTAAAATATAGGTATCAATTTGGGGGTAATCCAAAAATTATGCATTTATTTTAGATCAAGTAGATTATGCGACTTAAATTTTAGGAGAAATAATTGAAGTAATTATGATGATGATAAGAAAATCCCGAATCTATAGGTCTATTCTCTCTTAATCAAACATACTACGGATTTATTTATTTTATTATATTTTTTTATATTATTATCTGCTATATTTTATTATTATTTATATCTTGTTTTTGTTACACGCCCGCCGAAAATCAAAAAAAAAATTTTTACTTTTTTTTTTTTTTTTTGAATTTCAGGATATTTATTTACTTTAGTAAATACTTTGGTGAAACAAATAATTATACCATATGTAAAATATGTAAAACTATTCATAATATTTTAAAAAATTTAAAAAAAAAATTTATATCTTTTTTTATTTAAAACTTTATAATTAAATGTCATCAAAGATCCAAAAAATGTATCTATTTTTTTTTTTTTGGATTATGCACCAGAAAGAATTTAAATATATATATTAGAATGATTAAACTACATATTTTTTGATTACGTTTAGAGAAATTTTGACAATAAAGTAAATATTATTCTATATACAATATAAATACATATATGTATGTTAATTTACTATCCATGTATGGACAACAATTTTTTAAATAATAATAAAAAAACGGGTTTTTTAATGAAACGAACAGTAAAATAATCCGGCAAATTCTTTTTTCATTCATTCATTGTTGTATTATTGCGATTATTTTATTATAACTATTTCAATTATTAACATTGATACCTTATCTTAATATCAGTTTATAACATCCAATAAACCATAAATGGAATTGATAATTGAATGCATTATCAATTTTTAATATATAAATAATAATAAAAAGAGAAAAAAAAGTGATAAAGATTTGTTTGCTGCCTTCCTGCAGATTTGTTTTTCGGATTGGCAGAGAACGTACTGCGAAAACTGCGGTCGAATCTATTGTGCATATCATTTTATCATTATTATAATTATTTTTCCCTCGATCATGCAAGTTTTGTTGTCAAATTTATTATTTCATTCATTCATTCAATAAATAAGTAATAATTAACATTATTATATAAAAACGTATAAAAATATCAATCCAATCAATAAATCAACGATTCTCTTTTTTTATTACGCAACTGTTTTATCGTTTTACTATTTTTTACTATTTTTTACTATTTTTACAGTCCACGCAACATATTTAATAGTAATTATAGTTTCTTTTTTCCTTTCAAAATGGCTAACGTTACTAATTACATAAAATATCAGCGTGGTGAAATATCTAAAAGTATTTGTGGGATTGATCCTTGGGTACGCACACGTATCTATATATCTATATATATTTATTTTTATATATTATCTTTATCATATTTCATATTTATGTATTTTTTTTTTTATTTTATTTTTTTTTTCTTTAGGGACCTTTTGAAAAAAATGTTTTTACAGACTGTTTTCGAGAAACGTATGTAATTTTCTTAATTTTCTTAATTTTCTTATTTTCTTCTAATAATAAAAAAAAAGAAAAATAGAGAGATATTCAATTATATAACTTTATATGTACATTAAAATATATATATATATATATATATTTAGTATCATCGATACAGGAATTCCATTATTATATTCTATTGGATCGATATTTATATTGTTATTTGCTTATATTCGTCGTCGAAAGAGACACAAACGATCAAATTATCAACCATTACTTGACGGATCATTAAACACGTCAAATTATGGAGCGATCGAACAAACAATTGATAACAATAATAATGATGGTGATGATGATGGTGCCGATGATAATAATGAAGGAGATGGAGAATTAGATGATGATGATGATGATGAAAATTCGGATAAAACTTTGGTGTTAGATGATGGAATTAAAAGAAATATGATTTATGATTATGGTCGATTATTTTTTAGTCTTGCTATTTTGGGAATATTTAATTATCTCTCAATGATAAGATGGAAAAATTATGACGACGAAAAACATGGATATTATTGGGTTATTACTCCTGTTATTGAAACCGCAATTTGGGTAATTAAATATTTACTCAGGTTTATATTATATTGTATTATATTATTATATTATTGCTTAATTATATTATATTATATTATTATATTATATTATATTATTATATTATATTATATTATATTATATTATATTATATTATATTATAAATTACACTTTTAGATGTATGCCACTATTTTATCCATTATTAACTTAGCATCACAACAACGTGGTGTATTTCACATTCGAGGACACTTGGATTTATTATATCTCCTGACAGTTCTTTCATCATTAATCAATATTCATTCATTATACTCAAAATATGGAATGGATATTAAGTCAGATGGAGAATATTATTTATTCATATGGATTTTAATATTTTCATCTGTGTTACTTATCATTACTATCTTTGAACCAGAAGATGATCCAAATGGAATTTATTCAAAACCCAATTCTAAGGTTATTATTTTTTATATTAAATATTTATTTATTTTAATTATTTTTAATTATTTTTAATTATATTTTAACTTAAATTATCTTCTTATATCAATTAAATCAAATCAAATAATCAATTCACTAATTAATTTCAATTCATTAATTAATTTCAATTCATCAATTAATTTCAATTCATCAATTAATTTCAATTCATCAATTATTTCAATTCATCAATTAATTTCAATTCATCAATTAATTTCAATTCATCAATTAATTTCAATTCATCAATTAATTTC